TGTTTTCGTTTTGGTTATTCAGTTTGATGAATTTGTACATATGTTTTGCATGTTACCGATGTTAAAGCTTTTTGTGCTAATTTTGCGCTAAAAATCGACCACGATCGTCTGCCCCTTATGAAAGCCATATTAATTTGAATTCTCGAATCTCTCGTAGGAATCCCTCTGAACACCTCTAGTAGCCTTGTCCAGAAACCCTGCATCCCCTCTGCTCCTGTTCCTTTCCCCTCCCCACCCTTGCTTTTCCCCTTCCGCAGCTGTTCAGTTCGCGTTATTTTACTAAAATTTTTGCTTCCTTTTATCGCAAAAAAAATTTTGTATCCTGTAAATTTTTTAACGAATTTATGAAGTGAATTTCACATACCAAAAAAACTTTTTTTTTTATTCGAGACCTTCATTCTTGTCCATTCTCTGGGACAGGCAGAGACACTGGGAAGTAGTCCGTGTGACAGAAAATGCCAGCAACAGTCAGAATGGGATCAACCTATTTTATGCATGAGAAAATCTGCTATTTTGACTTGTTTTTAAACACAAAATTAACATCCAAATGACAGACAAGTGTAGTCGATTTTTCCGTATATTTGTTAGGATGGATGTATATCACCATTACGAATGAATAATATTTACGCTAACTATTATTTATGATTTTACAAAGGACCTGCAGTATTTTCTCATTAGAGGTCTGTGGCTAAGTTCACATGTATAAAGTAGAACATTTTTTATGAGCTTCTTTTATTCTGATCACCTGTCGTTTGTTCGTCGCGTTCACCTTCTTGCCATTGATGCAGCTAGCAACTTCTCCATTCTTCTCTGTTTTGGGTTTCTCTCATCCAGGTACTTCCTTTTTGATTTTCAGGCGGGTCCTTTCACTAAATTGGCTGACTTCTGTTGTTCTTTTTATACGCAGATGGGCACATTTTGATGCAGTCTTAGCCGTGTTTAAAAATTTTTCTAATAGGAACTCATTAACGCTAGAACACCGAGTCTAGAATATACCGGGCAGTAATTTTGGCGACCTGAATTGACACTTGACACAGAGCGACGAGGGTTGATCTGTCTCGGACGTTTCTTATTTCTTAGACTTTTTACTAATGTTCGCTGTTTTTATTAAACTGA